CTGCCTGAGACCCTGGAGAGCCATGAAGTGGGGCTGTGATTCAGTGGGAGAGTGTCTGCTTGGCAGGCAGAAGGTCCCAGGTTCGATCCCCGGCATCTCCAGTTAAAAGGACCAGGCAGGAGGTGATGGGAAAGACCTCTGCCTGAGACCCTGGAGAGCCATGAAGTGGGGCTGTGGTTCAGTGGGAGAGTGTCTGCTTGGCAGGCAGAAGGTCCCAGGTTCGATCCCCGGCATCTCCAGTTAAAAGGACCAGGCAGGAGGTGATGGGAAAAACCTTTGCCTGGGACCCTGGAGAGCCATGAAGTGGGGCTGTACCTCAGTGGTAGACCCTCTGCTTGGCATGCAGAAGTTCCCAGGTTCAGTCCCCGATATGGCAGCCCCTCACACTTCCCTCCCTCAGAGATAGATTTCCCCTCCAAAATTTCGTTCCCTGTTGTGACTGAGCCGCCCCAAAGTCAGGTGGTTTACTTCTTTGTCTTCAGAAGACTGTCTGTCCCGCCCAGTCACAGAGATACAATCTGATTTTTGGCCCAGCCCTGGAACCTGAGGGAAGAATAAGGAGCCCTCTTGGGTCGAACCCCTCCGAATGCCACCTGAGACAATGTAAAAGTCAAACAGGACAAAAGCCTTTATTACTGTAAAATAACCATTGGTCTCACTGAAGAAGTCGATGAGTGAACCTATACCCGGGATCCTCATGTGACCACTTGATGACTGATGACTGTCTCACAATGCTTTGATGAATAAGAGCCAACATGACGAACCTTCCTGATGCTTTAAAAGTGCACCGTCTTCTAAATGACTCTGTTCCGGAAATATCAATGAACGTAGCAAGCCTCAAAGCGACACGCCTCCCAGGCAAAAACTGCATGTTTCGAGAGAGTCTTCTTCAGGCAAAGTTATTTTTCCTGGAATCAAAGCTCACGATGCTACAATGCACGTCAACAGTTCTACAGAAGGCGCCTCCGGTTTTCCATGGAGAACTTTGCCTGAAGAAGACTCTCTCCAAACATGCAATTTTTTGCCTGGGAGGCGTGTCACTTTGAGGCCTGCTGTATCTCTTTTTGGACAGCATAACAGCCTGCTGCATCTTTCATCACTGACGACTGCTGCATCTCTCATCAGCATCTCATCAGATGCAAGATGGTCTACAGCTCTGAAACCTGTCTCTGTAGCTGTGGACTTTTCTACTAGATATAGAAAGGTTTTTGTAGTACAATGAATAAGATACACTAGGGTCTCTATTGTATTGAAGTATATTATTTACATCAATATATGAAGATATAAAGGAGCTGCGGTGGCTCAAGTGGTTAAGACGCTGAACTGCAGGCTGTGGAAGGTCGGTAGTTCAGCAGTTCGAGACCCGAGTGTGCCACATGATGGAGTGAGCTCCCGTCTCTAGTTCCAACTCCTGCCAACCTAGCAGTTCGAAAGCAAGAAATTGCAAGTAGATAAATAGGGACCGCTTCGGTGGGAAGGGAACAGCATTCTGTGCGCCTTTGTGTTTAGTCATGCCGGGCACATGATCACGGAAACGTCTTCGGACAGCGCTGGCTCTTTGGCTTGGAAACGGAGATGAGCACCGCAACCCTAGAGTCGGATTCAACTGGCTTTCGAGCAAGGGAACCTTTAGCTTTACGAAGATATAGTAGTATAATAGCATTGTGTGTTTTGTTCTAACACGGTGTTTTTCTACGTTTGCTCAACCTTGCCGTATTTCCTGTGTGCTTGTTGAACTTCCAGGTGGGGCCTGGAGATCTCCCAGAATTCCAACTGATCTCCGGACGACAGAGATCCGTCCCCCTGGAGAAAATGGCGGAGGGTGGACCGAGGGCCACCTCCAAATCTCCAGAGATTCCCCAGCAACATGGCCGGCAGCAAGCTGGAACAGAGTTATCTCCGGGAGGCATCTTCACAGCCCAAGAGCACATCT